CCAGAGGTGGGGGTTAGGTTAAATAGGTGAAGAGAGTCAAAGATACAAACTTCCATTTATAAAACAAGTAAGTCCTGTGGATGTAATGTACAGCATGAGGAATGTAGTTAATAATCCTGTATTATACTTCTGAAAGTTGCTAAGAGAGTTAACCTTAAAAGTTTTCATTATAAGAAAAACATTGCGTACTGATGGATGTTAATTAGACATAGTAGTCATCTCACAGTATATACAAATATTGAATCATGTTGTACACCTGAAACTAATATAATGTCAATTATATCTTGATAAAAATATTAAAATAAAATTGCATTTCCTCCAGAATTCTTATCCTCTATTCTCTTTTACCCAGATTTATTTTATTTATTAGGATTACTAATAATCTGACATACCATACATTTACTAGTTTGTATGTTTGTCTCTTTTTTTCTCAATGGACTGCAAACCTTATGAGGGCATGGTTTGTTTCTCTTATTCACCATAGTATCTCTAGCACCTGGAAAAATGCCAGGTATATGGTAAGCATTTAAGAAATATTTGCTGAATAAGTAAATAAGTAAAACCAGAAAAGTATTGATATTTCACATATTCATTTCAAAACTGAACATCTTACTACATTATTTCATTATTACTAGGAAATTTTTCAGTTGACTCATTTGGATGATTTTTTATAGTCACATCATCTGCAAATAGTTACAACTGCTTTCTCTTCTCCAATAGTTATATCTTTTATTTTTCTATCTTTTAAATTTCTGTATCTAGAATTTTTACAATAATATTAAATACTGATGGTGATTTTTAGAATCCTTGTTTCATTCCTTACTTTCATTGGAATTCCTCTGATGTATCATTTAAGAGGATTCTGGTTGAGGTTGGAAACACAACACAAACACAGACACAGACACAGACACACACAGAGACACACACACACACCATATGAAGACTATATATGCTCATACTTTACTAAAGATTTTATCAAGAATTTTAGTAGGGTTTTATTAAATTATTTATTGGAATTTATAGCATGAGCATGTGTCTTCTTATTTGACCTGTTAATATGACAGATTATAAAAATAGACTTCTCAATAATGAACACTGCATTCTAGGAACTATCTTCACTTTGCCGTGGCATAGTTTCCTTTTAATACACTGGTGGATTATACTCAATGTTTTTTAATGATAACTTGCATTTACTTAACTGTATATGTAAATAGGTCTCTTAATTTTGTGTAATTTTAGTCAAGTTTGCTATACTATTATTCTGGTCTCTTATAGAAAAGAGTAAACTTTACTCTTTATGCTCTGAAGCAACTCAAAATTAAATATTCTTTGAAAATGTGAAGTAATTTATTTATGATATCACCAGGCCTAGCATGTTTATTATATGCTTATAATAAACATGTTTATACTAAACATGCTTATAATAAACATGTTTAAGGTGTGATTTTCTTAGAGGAAATGGCATATTAAAAAAATTCACAATTTTTAGGGTTAATGGTCTGTTCTGGTTTCATATTTCATCTTGGAAGAAATTTATATCTTCTGATAATTTTTTTCTCTCAGATTTTACATGTACCTGCCTAATAAATCAATCTATGCCTGTGATTATTTCTTCTTTCTCTCTTCTAATTCTTTGTATTTGTGCTCTTGTTATTGTGATGCTGAGAAAAGGAGCATCTTCCATTGGATATCTCCTATGTCCTTTAGTAACCTGGGAAAATTAGCAGAGATCTGTGCATGTGGCACTGAGGTGGGGACTCAAAACAAGAGGTAGCTGCAGCTGGTGGTGAAGTGATACTCCACCTCTGTGAGGCTGTCGGGGCTTTAGCAAGGCTGCCAGAGATGCCAATGCCAGCAAGCTGTTTTAAGTGCTGGAGACATCTCAGAGCAGCAGGTTAAGTGATCCAGAAATTATTAAGAAGTTCTGCCTTCTGATGAAGTTCTGACTTTCCAGTCTCCAAGAAGTTACCAACAGTTGATCAATGAAATAGCTTAATTAGTGGACTGATGTGAGGTCCTAGGTAAATATTTAGTGAGGATATCTGGGAGAAAAACTGCCCTTTATGACTGGGGTTAAGAATAAAAAATGATTATATTTTTAGTATTAAAGAAATATTTTACTGTCTCAGGCTTATGAGGCAATGGCATTTGAGTAAAATAAGCCTATTCAATTTTATATTCACTGAATCTTTTTTTTTTTCATTAGTTTTTAGGATCCTTGATAAACTTTTCTATTCTGCTTGCTTCCAAAAGGGAGAATCTCCCAACATTTCATTTCACTCACTTTCCCAGCAGTGAGAAATCTCATTCTGGGGTATATAGTCATCTCTTTGCTGGGTATGTTCTTCTGATGTCAAATAGGCATTTCAAATTCAACAAGTCCCAAAATGACCTGATCACCTTCCATATATATCCTCTATGTCTATATTCTTTATATTCGTTTGTTGCCACTATGTATTTACATTCAAGCCAGAACTTTAGAGTCCACCTAAATTCTTTGGCTTTCTTCCATCTTCCACCCTACCAAACACTGTTCATTTTATTTTCCCCGTTTTTCTAATAACTCTTCCCTCTCCACACTTGGTTCACATATCCTAGGTCAGGCTCTCATTATCTCCTTCTAGGATTTTCTTTAATGACATGTGATGCATTGAATACAAGTGATATGAGGGTGCAATATACCGGAGGATCCTACTAGGTCTAGCTAAGGATCTAAGGAATGTAGTACTTTGTAACCCATCTCCAAATACATGAGCCTGAACTGTAGGTGTTCTCTGCCTTTGGTTTGACAGTGTTTTTATTTGCCTTAATTTCCCCATGTTCTTGATCTTTGTTTCAGAATCTACTTGGTATTCTAACCACAAATCTAACCCAGCCAAAGTGGCTTAGAAAGCATCAAGGTCAAGCAGATATCTGATTGTCAAAAAGCACAGAGTTTGATGAAACGGTTGGCAAGGGTGTGGTGAAGTAGACGTGCATACATTATTTATGGGGGGTTAAATTGGTAGGACCTTTTTGGAGGGTAATTTGTCAATGGCCATTAAATATAAAATTGATCCAGCAATTCCATTTCTAGGAATTTATCCTGCAGATATACTTACGCATGTGCACAAAAATGTATGCACCTAAGTAATCACTGCATAATAGTTTATAGTAATAGAAAATAACAACTAATATACATGCTCATTAAGGGTATAATGAATAAGCATGTTCCAACCCTATAGGGGAATACTATGCAATTAAAATGAATTAGGTATGAATAAGGTGTGTATAAGAAGTAATGTCTAAAATTTTGTGATAAAAGTGACACAGATATGTGCAGCACATGCTGTAATTTATATAAAAATTGCATACACACACATATATATACGTATATATGCCTCAACCATCTCTAAATGGATAGAGACACAAAATGTACTGCTTGTGATCTTTGGGCAAGTGGTCACGGATCCTAGGGTATGAGACTTACTTTTCACTGTACACTCTTTATACAGTATGATTCTTTTGGTCATGCACATGTATTACTTAATTTAAAAAAACAAAATGAAAATGAAGACCAAGTCTTAATACATGTAGTTTAAAATATTAGGAATATGTGCATATGTAAAATGGTATACATATATGCCATTTTCTCACATGGGAACATGTGAGGTAGCTATAAGCACAAAATGTAATTTTTTCATAAATAAAAAGGTTTGTTAAATCATCTTAAAAACACAAGATACCTAATTTTCCCAACTTATAGCAAGTATATTTTGATAAGGCATTCAAGATGTTATTAACTCTTTTAACCTATGATAGTAGCACAAGTTTGCCTTTCAAAAACAAATGTACACAGTTAATGTGTGCACAGCTGATGTTTCAGCTTCAGTTTCTCTCTGGGAAGATTCTGACTTTGATAAATATATTCCTCGAAGGACAACTAAAAAAAATAAAGTGTATATATAAGCATCCAAAAACTTTAACCTAGCACTTAATTGCTAAAATACTAAACATGTTTTATTTTTTTTCAACAATACGTCACATACTCAAATCCAGATAAAAGAATTATCCATGTATACAATAAAAAAGTTGTCAATAACGTCCACATTGAACACAACAGCTGACCTTTCTCTGTAAATGGCTACCTAGATAGTGTTACCTAAACTTTAAAGAAATGTTCACCCCTCAAAAGTACTTCCCTGATTGTTCTGCACTTACAGGACGGTTTTGATTAGCTATAGAATTCTGTAGCATAAATGCTACCGAGGAAAGCAGGCCATAATATAGCAGCTTTAACCAAAAAGGCTGAGGGCCTAGAGATACAGATGCTAAATTGAACTGAATAATCAAAATTGTGATTAATAAGATGAACATCACTGTAAAATTTCTTGTCTAAGAAAACATATTTTTAAATATTTTGTGTACCAAAAATATACAAACAAACAGCCAGGTTCCAAAATCCAAATGAAACAGATGCCAAATGGTGGCATCTAGATCTTGTAATGCATTTTCTAGACCAGGGCTAAGCACCTGCTGTGTTATATATATAATGGGTAGTTCCTTCAACTAGTTCAAAAGATATTTTTTAGCACACATTTTCCCCAAATACCATACATATGAAACGTGTACACGACCTGAATATACTGTTGAAATACTGGTAAAAGTGAAGTACTAAATTGTAGTGGGAACCATGTCTACATTAGCCCAAAGAAAAACCATATGTCAACCACTCAGAGAACACAATTAAGGATTAGACAAAATTCTTTGTAAGAGAAGGCAAAAAAGATACTTGTGTGGGGGTGGGGCGTACAGGAAAATCGTAAAGCCAAGTTTTGATTAACCAAGGATCACTCTCTCTCTCTCTCTCTCTCTCTCATACACTACGGACAGATAAATTGAATTTCCACCTGGAAGACAAACATCACACTGAGTTAAAAAACACAAACGCAGCATGAGGAAGGAAAGTGAGAGGGGACTGGAAGGTAAATTTGGGCACTTTGAAAACACAGCAGCCATCCTTAGCTCCAGAGGCCAGCGTAGTTCCCATGAAGGCCTGAAGGGAGAGGTCCCCCAGCCACGAAGAGTTTCATCTCCGGCCAGTTGTAGCAGTGGGTGTAGAGCGCGTTGGGGAACTCGCCAATCCCACCAAAGTAGTTCACCCACAGGTCATCGTGGTTGAGCCAGCCTCTGCCACAGGTGAGCTTGAGCTTTCTTCCTGAGGGCCCAGGAGAGGCATCCGGACTGGTTGAGGCCCTCTCCTCCAGGAACTTCTGGGCACGGATGTCATAGAAGAGCAGGGAGCCATGGCCTGTGCCCACGGTGATGATATGCTGGTAGAAACTCAGCGAGCGCACACCCGTGCCGCCCTCTCGGGAGCACAGGGGCCGGATATTCTGCTGACGTTGGCGTGGATCTAAGAAGGAGACATGGGACTGGGAGCCCACCGCGTACAGGGACAACTCATCACAGTAGGTCAGGCACACGTTCTCTCGGCAGTAGGGCAGCCTGATGGACAACAGCCTGGACAGAGTGCTGCGGGCTTTCCACAGGTGGAAGTAGCCGTCCAGGGACACCGCTCCCAGCTCCTGGTTCTTGCCGCTGAAGGCCAGAGCCCGCACCTTGCGGTTACTGGGGCTGGTGCTGGACCTGGGGATGGTCTCCATGTCCCTCGGACGGATGTGGGCGTACACAGGGAGACCAGCGTCATTGTGCCAAGCGATGCTGCCATTGAACATGTCGGGATCCATCCGCCACAGCGCCACTGTGCCGTCACGGGAGCCGCTCACAGCCACTGTGTCACTCATCCAGGCGATGGTGAAGATCCAGTCCTTGTGGCCATGGCGGTCGCCCAGGCACACGGGGTCCAGGGTGGGCAGCTGGTAGATAGCCAGGCTGTTGGGATTCTCACCCCCAGTGGCCAGAAGCGTCTTGGAGGGATTCAGCTCGATGGCGTGGATACCGCAGGTCGGCTGAGCCCGGGCCAACCAGGGCCCCCGATCCCGCATTAGGGGGATGCGCGTGATCTGACCCGAGTGCACATCCACCACGAAGAGGGTGTTACACTTGGTGCCACACACCACCTGCCTGGCGTTCAGCCACTGCGACGCGAACACCTTGTTGAGGGTGCCCAGGGTCAGCTCGCGCTCCCTCAACAGCTCAGGCAGCTTCTGCACCGCACAGCCTCGCAGCTCGCCCTCTGAGCCCGAGAGCCCGGCGCCGCCCCATGCGCCCACCTCGCGGCCCTTCAGGTAGTGGACCAGCGAGCGCCTAGTTGCCGGCCGCTTCTGCTTTTTGGGAAGCAGCGGCCCCTCCGCGTCCGCCGCCGCGGAGATCTGAGACGACGAGGTTGCAGCGCCCGCCTGGATCGCGGGTGCTTTCCGCTTCCTGCTACCTGTTTGCTGCGGGGCCATAGTGGGCGGCGGGCGAGTGGAGGCGGTGGCGCGGCGGCGGCGGCGGCGGCGCGTGGCACCCGTGTCGGCCGTGGTGGCGGCGGGGACCGCGGCGCCTCCGCGTTAGCCGAGAAGTCGGGCTCTCAGGGGCCAGGAGGCGGGCGCGACCGCAGGGCGCGGAGCCTACCGAATCCCGGGCGCAGCAGCGACGAAAGAGGAGAGGGTGGCGAGGGCGGGGCGTGGAACGCGGGCCCGAGGAAGCGGGGCGCGGGAGGATCGCGGGAGGATCGCGAAAGGAGTGCAGCGACAAGGGCGGCGGCGGCGGCCGGGATCTAGGCGAGGGCGGGAAGTGCGGCTGGCGGGGCGGCTGGAGCGAAGTCTGAGTAGGACGAGGACGATGCTGGGGGACCCAGTGTGAGGGGGCGGAGGCAGCAGGAGGAGCGGGTCTAGAGCAAGCGAGGGGCGCAGGGTAGCACACGCCAGGCTGGGAGGGGTCGGAGGGGGGGCGGGAAGTGGGAGTAATGGAGCCCGCGGTGGGGAAACTCACCCAGGGCCAGCGCTCCCGGATCCCCAGCCGGCTCCTGAGGACACATCCTAGTGCGCCTGCCCAGGACCTCTTGCTATCTGACTCCAGGCGTTTCACTATCCTCAGGATACCAACCAACTAGCCTTCTTAAAATCCCTACTTAAATAAAATCTGAAAGCTAAAATAAAGTCAAGTATGAAGCTAGAAGGAGCTCTAACAATTATGCTATATGCACAAACGTGTGCTTAGTGCAATCCTAGGAGATCCTTTGCTGTAATTAGTCTTCAAACTTGGCAAAGAATGGGGATGTTTAGCAGAGGCTGGGAGACCCTCCCCTTAGGTCTGTCCTTGCAGCATACCTGTCTCAGCCCCTCCGTTGGGAGTGTGTTGTAAATTTTCAAACAATTTATTCTTAATTCCCAAATTGAGGTCCCTGAGTTTCCACACCATAATCCCTAAGGGGTGTGTTCCAAATGTAGTTGCCTGGGCTGCATTTCCTGCTGGAGGTAAAGTGAGGACCCTGTGGTCCAGGGCAGCCTCGGGAACCTTGAGAACTGCATTGAAGATGCCGGTGGGGGTTGGAGATAAGACAAGCGTGTTCCTCCATGATTTGGAGTTCTCTTGAACCCCAGAGAGGAACCCTGGAGTGGAGTAGAAGAGATATAGGAGAGGCATACCTCTTTCGCTGCTCGAGGGAGGAAAGAAAGGTTCAGTCCCCACTGTCAGTCTCAGAAGGAATCCCAGGTGCCTGGGCATAGACTTGTCTTGCATGGGATGGCCCCTGGGGCATGGGGGTGAGGGGAGGAATTCATGGATTTCCATAGGCACAGATGGGGAAGAACTTTCCAGAAGGACGTAACCACATAGAAACAATTATGAAGTGTGGTTATTCAGATTATGGATTTAGCAGCCTCAGAATTTGGATGCTCCATATCTGGGTTTGCAGCTTCAGAGCAACCAATTTGGCTGGCAAGCCTATATTTAGACATGCTCAATTGCACAGTGACATGAGAGACTGGTAGCTGATATCAGCTCTGCAGACACCCCAGTCTTCCTCCCAAAACTTTCTTTGTTGAGTGGGTGCATGTGAGGAGGTGAATTAACTTTTCTGATCAATCAAGGGAGAGCATGGGAGTTACTTTGTTGTTGTTTTTCTCCTCCTTCTCTGAGCCCTTTTGCACCCTCACCTCAAATGCAGACTCCAAGAACAAAAACCATAGGCCCTTTGCACCACTGCCATCCAGATGATACATACCAATACGGACACCTCCCCCATATTCCTCCCTATGTTTAATGCCCTATCAGAAGAGTGAGGGTGGTGAAGGAGTGGCCTGACAATGAAAAACATGTTGACCGCTTCATAATTAGAACTCATATTACTAGAGAATAAATGACTACAAATTAATTTAATTTACCATAATGTTTTATTTTAATTCCACCTCAGAACAATGGATATTATATAGTAAGACTTTATGGCATACTTTTTACCATTGTAAAGGCTGAACATTTGGGAGATTGATAGATACAGATAGGTCTTGATTGCTAAATATAGATATATTTCAATTATAAAAGTAAATAATTCTTATAACATTTATTATTTATTGAGAGCCTATTTGTGTCATTGGCTGGAGGACTGTGCTAAACATTTCAAATGGACATTCAGCTTCACAATAACTTTGTATGGCAGGTTCTATTTTTATAGCCATATTTTAAAATGAGGGGACTAAGGCCCGGTAAGACTAATAACTCCCCCATGGTCACACAGCTAGTAAATGGTAAAGACATGTTGTGGAATCCATGTCTGACTCCAAAGCTTTGAAGACTAATAAATACCCTATATTATTCAATAAGTACAATTTTTCTATTTCCATCTCTTTAAAAACCATGTAAACTGTCCCTGTGATGGAAATTTTAGAGATGTTGCATCTTGTGCACTTTTGAAACATGGTCAGAATTCCTAAAATAAAGGAATAAATACTGAATGTTTCTTATATATAACACTCCAAATTATATATTAAGGCAAAATATGATTAATGAGATATATTTTCTTTTTTACAAATTCTTTTTAACTAATATGAAATATAATAATATGTGCCTACATTGCTGTAAAAATAACACCTGTATAAATAGTCTAGGCATTATGTCTTTCCAATTTTTTGATAATATAATTATGCAATATTTATGTATAATGTGTTTGTAGTCACTGTCCAGATTACTATTTTGTATTGATAAATGAGGTGTGATAATTTCATCTAAAATATTGGGTGTTATATGTAAACAGTGAATTTTGGAACACTACATCAAAAACTAGTGCTGTACTGTATGATGACTAACTTAAAATAATAAAAAAAAGTAAAAATACAGTATATGCAACACATTTAATTTATGTCTATACTTTCAAATTTTTCTGAGTTTTTAATTTAAAAATGTAAGATTTACAGACCAGAGTCAAGTGATATTGAGAAATTTAGAGTGTTGTATATCAGCTTGCAAATTTGAACCTTCTTTATAGGTATCTGATTACTTCCATTTTTAGGAAACCACAATGTCTGCTAAAACCTGAAGTTATACACAGTACATTTATAGTTAAAGTAGTATATGAAATGACATGGTAAAATTTCAGGTGTCTACATGGTCTTCTGAGTGTCAGGGTCTTATTAGGTATAATACCTATGAGGGTCACTGTGTATGAGTGCAAAAATCTTGTCAGTCATTACTAGTTTATTTCTGTATTTGTTACTGCTTTTTGCTACTAACACACCCCTGGATAAATTTGTATTAGCCATACCTATTTCCCCTACAGATTCCCCTCCACTGGGTGAGGACTTATATGAGTGGTTTCAGACCACTATCTTATCCTATTCTCTAGTTACTTCATATTTTTAAATGTTATTTTCTTAATCAGATTATAAAGTCCTCACGGGTTTATGTAACATTTCCTACTTCATTCACACCACCGTATAGTTCTAGGTATGCACTAAATGGTTTATAAAACTTGTAATTATCCTGTTAATAAACTAATAAAGGAGAGAAAGCAAAATGAAATATCAAAAAGTGGAAGTAAGATCTTTTGAAATCAAATTACTTGAGTTGTAAAAGTGAAGGATTTGAGTTGATTTGTAATAATGCCACATAACTTGTTTGAAGTTATCCTCCAGATAATATAAATAACTTCAAACAAGTTATGTGACATTATTCTATTTATCTCTCTATATTTATATGTTTCTTTTCAGCTTATTGGACAATTTTAACAACTGTGTCTGTCAATCTTTCTAATCTCTGAATGAAAAAAAAAGGTCTATTTAGTCAGTAAACAAGTTAGTTTACTAATTTAAAATTAGTTAAGGCAGAAGATTTATTTCACTATGGTAGCATGAAAATAAGTTTGGCTATTAGGTATGATTCAAATTATTTTGAAAATATTACTAATTTTAGCCTCAAAGCTAAAAGAGAAAAAGTGGGATAATAGTAGAACAGATGGGCCAGTAACTAGTCTTTTTGTAGAAATATTCAATTATGAAAGTTTATTTTGTATATTCTTCTATAAAAAATAGATTTTATGAATATAGACTTAATAGATTGGAGCAGATTCTCAGGTACAAAGGCATCTGGCTTCAGAAATGGGATTATATAATCATTTCTGATATATTGTGTAGTGATATAAAGTAAGGGGCTCCTTAACACTATTTTTGACATCTTGCCTTCATTTGAATGTACAGACCTTGGATTATCTTTATCAATAAATATAAAACCCTAAAAATAAAATATAGTTAATTAAGCTTATTTTAAAACAATATATAATAATGATATATTGTTATTTATAATATGCATAAGGCAAACTACTCTTGAATTATTACATTGGATAAATTTTCACCTAGTCTCTAATTATAATAGAGTTCTACCATTTCAAGCTGTGATCTTGTCAAGTCTCCTAAGATAAGCAGCTGTGAAGGCTTCCTCCAAACCTCATGATGCAGAAACTGGTAGAGATGACTCAGCAGGCCATGTTTCCCCTACCAAGGCACTACTAAAGTCATATGGTGTTAGATGGGGGACTAAAGGAAAGAGTTATCACATTATTTAATTTACTGGAAACAGAATCATAGGGAAGAAGGTAATTTTGATTCCATGACCTCTGTTTTGCCCTACCCCTTTCCAACTTCTCTAAGAGGAAGGAATGCGTCAGAGCCCAAACGTGGTCTTTGTTTAATAAGAGAGCAGATTCAGTGCCATTATTTGTTTTATGGAAGGCACAAAAGTGCATTGGTCAAAGAAGTGGACTTCAGAGCCACATAATGTGGTTTGAATTCTAGTTCTATGGTTTGCTAGCCTTGGAACTGGGTCAGTTGGTATATACCCTTTGCATTTTGTCCCTTACCTATATATGTGATGATAATATCACCTGTGCTCTGGGGTTGTTCTGATGATTAAATGAGTGTGTATACACACACATACACACACACACACACACACACACACACACAGAACATGTAAA